CTGGCTGGCCTCAAACTTGTGGAGATCTTCCTGCCTCAGTCTCCTGAGTGCTGGAATTACAGGCATGTGCTACCACTCTTGGCCTTGCTTGTTCTTTAGACTTTTTTTTTGGTACTGGGGATCGAACTCGGGACCTTGCGCTTTTGAGGCAGGCGGGCGAAACCACTGAGCTAAGTCCCCAGCCCTAGACCTTTTTTTTGGGTACCAGGGATTGAACTTGAACCTTGCGTTTGTGAGGCAGGTGGCAGAAACACTGAGCAAAATCCCTGGCCCTAGACTTTTGCTTTTATATTTTATTTCCTCATACCTACAGTTCTTTTATCATGTGTTTTTACTATAATATGCTGTTTTAATATGATGAGTACTGGCATGCACCATCAAATTAGAGGATTTATTATGTCATGTAATTTGTAGCTAAAAGTGATTTCTCTGGGGAAAACTTGTTGAGAGTGGATTGATAGAATTTTTAAAAGAATTCCCAGTAAGTTTTGGTTAAGTTAAATAGAGCTGCTTTTATAAAATTCCCTCATAACTTTGAATTTTCTGTATTTATGTTTGAACTTAGAATTATAGTTGCTAAGGTGGGGCATGGATTTCTCTTATTTATTATCTTTAACGAAAAAGAAAACTTTGTAGAATTGTGAAACTTTGTAGAATTGTGTAGTTACAGGCCTGCCTGGAGACAGAACCCCTCTGGAGGCCCTTTGCTAATCCTCTGATTATAGCACTGTTAAAAACATAGTTAAATCATTGTAGGGTTCTTTATCAACCTAGAATTTTAAAAAGTAATATATGTACGTGGAGAAAATTAAAACAGTTCAAAAAATATATGTTAGCACCAAGGAAATTATGGTCTGATCTTCATTCTCCAGTCGTGTCCTCCGTACCCCCAGGAAACCACTGTTACTCTCTTATCTTTGTAATCTTTCAGATAGTCCATGGTTATGAAAGCATATACAATAGTCACAAATATTTCAAAATATATTGTTCATGCTGTCAGCCACCTTGGTCTTGTTGCCTAGTAGTGTCTTTTAGTTGTCTTTCCATATCAGTTCATTATAGATTTAAAAAAAAATATGGTACGGGGAATCTAGGGCCTCACAGATGTTTGGTAAGTGCTCTATCACAGAGAGCTATGTCCCTAGCCACTTTTAAATTTTTTACTTTGAGACAGGGTCTTGCTAAATTACCAAAGGCTAGCCTTATAATTTCCAGTGGCTGGAATTATAAGCATGTGCCACCATGCCCAACAGATTTATTTTTAACTTCCATTTTAAGATTGTGCCATATTTAAATGATAGCTATTTTATTGTTTCATCCATTTAGTTTTACATTCTTATCTAGGTAGATATTAACAGTAGAATATTGGCAATGGATATTTAAACTTTGACATACACTTCCTCAAAGAGTAGTCTCATGTCACTGATTTAGTCTTATTGGTCAGTGCACTGTGTCAGTGTGTTAGGATACTTCTTACTTTCTTTTTTTCCAGCTCTCTTTATTCATTTTTTCCACTTTATGTCTTCCCTCCCTCCTGGCTTCCTTTCTAAGATGTTTTTTTTTGGGGGGGTACCTGGGATCAAACTTGGGTCCTTGCACTTGCAAGGCAGGCGGCAGAACCACTGAGCTAAATCCCCGACCCGCCTTCCTTTCTTAATTGAAAAGTATCTCTGTCCCAGACCATCCTTTCTAATCTTCAGGGAAGTTATATTCTTTTGTTAAAGACTGAAGTATTGCCTAGGAAATGGCATTGTCCCAAATAAAACATTTTTAAAGGTAGACTATATAAAAGATAAAAGATTATTTGGGTGCATATTTGAGTTTGACTGTTGTTATGTATCATATATAATGTATAACAATACCTGGTAAGCAATTTTTGGGGGGAGAGCAATGCTGGAGATTGAACCCAAAACCTTGAGTGTACTGAGCACATGTTTTGTCACTGAGCCACATCTCCAGCCCAGTGATCAATTTTTATTTAAGTAGGTAGAGCAGAATTAATGTCAGAGAGAACTTTATAAGAAAGCTTTTCCTGTATGATGTAGAGCTGCAGAATTTATGCTCAAATATAGGCTTTGTAACTTCTGAGTACTTCCCAGCTGTAGTAGATTATGATTTTTTTTTTTTTTTTTTTTTTTTTACAGGCTGTTGAATTTGCATTAAGTGTGTCACCAGAGTTAACATTGGTTTAACTGAACGGACAGGTGCAAAAATTTTACCGTTGATGTATAGTTGGACTCTTGGGGAGAAGGGAACAGAAACTTGGTTTTTTGTTGTTGTTTTTTTGATACAGGGTCTCACTGTGTAGTTTGGGTTTGCCTCAAGCTCATGATCATCTCCTGCCTGAGCCTTTGAATGGGATTATAGGCGTGTGGCACCATGTCCAATGAAACTTGATTTTTAAAAAATCATGTATATAACATTGATAGAACATACTGTTTCTTTCGGCATAAAAATCTTTTGTTGGGGGCTCTCAGTATTAAGAAATGAAAATCTAATAATGAATTATTCTTATCCTTGAAAATGGTTCTTCCAAAATGAGGTTGGAGAAGCAAGAAGGGATAAAGCTTGTTCTGTTTGCTGAGCAGACAAATACTAGTTGACTAGGTAGAAAATTTCAATGCTAGAGCTGTAACTTTTTAAGCCTGGTCGCCACTACAATGTGGGTCTTTCTTTGCTTTTACGCGGCTAACACACATTGGCTGTGATAATGTCATCAAATCAAAGGGATTCAGACAGGTTAGAATTTCCTTGTGTTTTGCTCTGTACTGCATGCAAACCATTGTTCTTTGAATAGTTATTTTAATTATGCCCACTTGTAAGGTCACAGAGTTGCAGATGATCATCCAAGCAGATAGTTGAAGAAAAGTTATACTTGCATGGAAAGGATTGTGACTTGAAAAGTATATGGGTACGTCCATAATTGAAAGAATATTTTAGGAAAGGAGAGCTGGGATCCTGTCCTTGATTTGCTGTAGTTAGCAATATGGTTTTAGTTAATTTATTTTAACCTTTTTGAATCCTAAACATCTTTATTTTGGCTTTTAAAAGTCCGAGTAGTTCATTGTAGTTCAGGCTGGCCTTGAACTCACTACTTTAAATAGCCTAGGCTGGCCTGGATTCTCCCGCCCCAGCCCTCTGAGGGCTGGGATTGTAGGTGTGTTCCATCATACCTGGCTGGGAGTAGTTTACTTCTTACATTTCTCCTAGTTTTGAAATTCCTTGAATATCTAAGGAGTACTCTATAAAATCTTTGTGAGTGTAATCTGAGATGACTGTGTTTTGGGGTTATAGTTGGAATTAGAGTTAGAAAAAGTAGTGCTGTATATTTTTGTTTTTCTTAATTTTGAGTGAAAGTTTTATATTTTTGCAGTAGGTAGTATCTTATTCTGAGGTAGTATTGAAATTCTTCCTTTTTTTTTGGTTATTTTTGGTACTGGGGATCGAACTTGGGACCTTGCACTTGTGAGGCAGGCAGCAGAACCACTGAGCTGAATCCCTGGCCCTGAAATTCTTCCTTTGCACTGAGCTGGATCCTCAGCCCTTTAAAATTTTTTTAAAGATTTGAGACAGGGTGTCCCTAAGTCCCAAAGTTGTCGAAGCTGGGCTCGAACTTGTGATCCCTCGATTTCAGCTTCCTAGGGTTGGGATGTAGATATGGACCACCATGTTTGGCTGGTATTATTTAAGTTCTTAATTCTTTTGAATTTCATGTATATCTTTCATATTTTAGGAATGTTTTAGTTTTATGTTTGTATCCATGGTAATATTGCAAGTGTGCAACTTACAAAATAATACCATTAAGAATACCTAGAAAGTTATTAAAGACTTTAGAATAGATTTGAAAGTTGATAGACCTTAGGTGCTTGTCTGTATTTGTTTCTTACTGAAATAGCCAATATCTTTCATGTCTTTCTATCAGGTCACAATCCTTTTTAGAGACTTTCGTTTATTATTTTTTTGGTGCTGGGTAATTGAACACAGGTAGTACAGTTAGATTGTCATGCACAAGAACCTGGACTATTTTTGGCCCACTCAGAACAGGGTCTTTCTTAGGTGTGTTAGGCAAGGGGAGAGTTCTATACAGAGCTATGTCCCTAGCCATGATTTAAGCATTTATTGGTGGTTTAGGGAAGAGGCAAGCGTGAGAATCTAGACCGTGTCTGTTTCCAGAGGAATTTATGATTATATTGATATTCTCAGACTGAGCCAGCTATAAAGATTACTGTGTTTCAGAGCAGCAGACCTAAAATATTTAAAATTTTGCTACTTTTTCTTGCCTTGTATCTTGGGTAGGGTTAGTAGTGGGGAAACCAGAATGCTGTGTGAATCAGTGACCTCTGGACAACTTTGTACTCTTGAGGTAATGGGAAAAAAAGTAAAAAGGTAAATTGGACTAGGAAAGAGAAGATGGGGTTTATATACTAGTTAGGTCAGCAGGCATTGGTGATACATTGGAAAAAACACATGGCCAGTGGAAGACTTCAGTTTGAATTTGAGCTCAGACCATACCCAGGCTCGTTTAAATAATTTAAAACTGGTTAAAGGTACTTAAAAAAAGCCTTCCCTCCATGGACCCTTTTTATAAAAGCTCACAAAGACCTGGGTGTGGTAGAGCATGCCTGTAATCCCAGCTATTGGAGACTGAGGCAGGAGGATCACAAGTTTTAAGCCCAGCCTGGGCTACATAGCAAAATCTTATCTCAACAAACAAGCAGAACAAAAATTATTTATGAATTAGATTCCCATTACTGCCAAAAAAAAAAAAAGTAATCTTTCTGCACAGAAACTTCATCAAACCAGTTTTGAAAAAGGAAAGACATACTTTTGAGTTTCTGATTTTTAAAACTCTTGGTATACCTCTTTATCCTATTCTTCAGAGATGGCAGTAGTCTGGAATTGGTAACATTGCACATGTCTTTGGCTCTTAAATAATTTAAGACATTGTGTTCTCTTTGCTGTCAACCTTATTTCATTTTCTTTATGCTTTTCTCCCTCAGGTTTTTCGTTGGAATATACGTTGCACATTTATGGCGATTCTGAGTGTGAGGGCAGACTTCTGCCAGGCTCAGCACAGCGTTTTCGCTGACAAGTGAGCTTGGGGGTTCTATGTGCCATAATTAACATTGCCTTGAAGACTCTGGACACCGAGACTGGCCTCAGAAATAGTTGGCTTTTAAAAAAAAAATTGCAAGCATTTTCTTTTAATGACTCCAGTAAAATTAAGCATCAAGTAAAAAAAAAGTGGAGAACGACCTACACTTTTAACTTGTCTCACTAGTGCCTAAATGTAGTAAAGGCTGCTTAAGTTTTGTATGTAGTGGGAGTTTTTTGGAGTCCGAAGGTATCCATCTGCAGACCTTGAGGCCCAATATCAAGTGGATTCTAAATCCTTCTGCTTATCTTGAAGAGAAGCCTCCTAAGGAATAAACAAGTTAATAGATAAAATACTGATCCATATTAGGCATTTTAGTGGTCTTTTTAATGTTTTCTGCTGTGAAACATTTCAAGATTTGTTGATTTTTTTTTTCATTGTCCCCATCACACACGCACCGCACGCTCACACTTTTATTTGCCATAATGAACCGTCCAGCCCCCGTGGAGATCTCCTACGAGAACATGCGTTTTCTGATAACTCATAACCCCACTAATGCTACTCTCAACAAGTTCACTGAGGTAAGACTGGTTAATCTTTTGGGCATTGATTTATAGGGAAAAATCCTTTGCTAATTAACATTGTTTAAAAAAAAAATCCCAGCTGGGTGTGGTGCTACACACTGGTAATCCCAGTGCTTGGGAGGCTGAGGTGTCAGTTGGTTTTGAGATCAGTCTGGGCTACATAGTGAGTTCAGGGCCAACCTGAGCTACAGAATGAGACCCTGTCTCAAACCCTCCCCCCTCCCCCCAAAACCAAATATCCCTATAATTAGAAGGCTAGGTTAAAGTTCTTGGTGGTAGAGTGCTTACTTAGCTTTAAGCATAGGGTCATGGGTTCAATCCCTAGCACTACTGAAAAAAAAAAAAAAATCTCTGTAATTGGAGTATGGATGGCTAGCCCACCAATCTGGCTTAAATTGGGTTGTTAGTTACAGTGAATTTTTGAAACAACATTTTTGGAATTTGGGAATATTGTAGAAATTAATTAACTAATGGTTTTTCTCTGTCCTTTCTACATTTATTAAGTTTTTTTGTCATACTTTCAGTATTAAAAACAAGGTGTATTGAGCACAGTATGTATTCAGCATTGCAATAAACAGTGTTTGTGTTTAAGGTCACAGATACAGGTACCGTAATTATTGCAGATGACAAAACTGAGGTTCAGAGCCAATTAGTAATTTACCTAATGGCAGATTGTTCGTAGTAGAACTGACACTCAACCCAGACCTTTCATACTAAAGGTCATGATACACCTCAAAGGTTCTAACCACATTTGATGAAAAGTCACCCCAGAACTACTTAGTAGTCGTACGCATGGATCTAGAAACTTGGAAAAACCATACATACTCCCAAATTACAGGTAGCATCATGTCAGATCCTTAGTCCCCCCCACCCCCCATTGGTTATAGAGAAGCTCATCATTCAGCAAACATTTGAATATAAACTTAAATCTTTTCCAGATTTTTTTCAGTCTAGATGTGATTATTGATTTATGGAATAGACAGAATTGGATGATCTCCTAGGGATTCTCATTTTACAGAAAGGTAGGGTAGGAGGCATATGGGCAAAGCTGAGGCCAAAAGAGGTTTTAATTTAGTCACAAATTCTTACCATTAAACAAAAAAAAATCTATCACAACCTTTCAAAGAAAAACTGTGAAGTTCATTTTAACATGATTTTTTTGTTTGTTTTTGTTTTGAGTCAAGGTCTCATCTGTATAGTTGAGGCCTGCCTTGAACTCACTGTGTAGCCCAGGCTAACCTCTGATTTGTGGTAATCCTTCTGCCTCAGCCTCCCAAGTGCTAGGATTATAGGCGTGTGCCACCACACCTGGCCATTTTGATATGATTTTATTTGTACTTTGAAACACAGAACTCCTAACTCAGTATAATATGTCACTTTTGTATCAGTCCCTAAGTAATTAAAATAACTTAAAAAAAAAAACTTTACTCTTGAGATAACTGAATAATACTTTTTAAAATCACTATTCTTGCTTATTTTATAATAGGTGCTGCCATAGTGAGCACCGTTCCTGCTTATTTTATACTTAAAATTCTTTGGTGTTCTTAATTTTATACAATGTACAAGTTGATTCCAGGTCTGTAAGTCTCCTTTAAATCTGGCTGAATTATGTGAATTATTTCAGCCTGTAGGTTCCTTGGCTGTAGACTTGAAAAGTGGCAAAGGCCACTCTAATACCACTGTAAAAAGATGGTGGCCCCTTGAAGATAAGTAGTTACTGGTTCAGGTGCTCACTGCTGGACAGGTTTTAAAGGAGCAAGGTCTATAATTGTGCATTAGCTGTCTTTTTAATATACCACCTTTCCTCTCAAGAAAAGCAAAATAAGAGTTTAAACTTAATGTTAATAGCTTGCTTCTAGATTTTTTTGTGTATTTATGTATGTATTTATACAGATAAGATGATAACATTTAAAAAAATATTCTCCAGCTTCCTTAGTATTATTTTCATACTGTCTTAGTATTTACTGTATGGATATGTATTGCTTCCTGTAACTGTTCCCTTGTTTCTGGACTGTAATACTATTTTCATTTTTTTACTATTCCATATAGTCTGTGGTGAATATGCTGCTACTTGAATCTTGTATATATTTTAAATTATTTCCTGTGTATACATTCCAAGAAGTAGAATTTCTAGGTGGAAGTATATGTAAACTTTTAAAGTTTTTGTGTTATGCTACCAAATTGCTCTTTAGAAAGATGAGTCTTAAGCCGAGTGTGGTGACACACACCTGTAAGCCCTGCACTTGGGAGACTGAGGCAGGAGGATTGCTGGGGGTTCAAGGCCAGCCTGAGTTACATAGTGAATTCAAGGCCAGCCTGAACTACATAGTGAGAC